AGATTTAGGAGTAGATTTTAGTTAACAGGTATATCTGACTATTCTTCTCCTCGCTCACCTTGTCTCAAGGCGCACAACAATCTTTCTTTACCTGAACTGGAGTACGTCAGGAGTTAATAGATGTGCTCTACCAGTAAACCAATTAATCCTCTAAGGACACTCACACATCACTACACGCATACACACAACTCACTACATACACACACAGGGGCCGGTGGGTGATATGTCCTCTATCATTTTCCAGGATCCAAAGACCTCAAACCCCCCCCCCCCCCCCCCAATCCTGAAAAACAAAGAGGAGCCTCCAGTTCAGTTGAACATCAGCAATAAATGAATCTATGTTTAAAAAGTGACTGAAACAATCAATAAATGATCAATGGCTGGTTAATCAATAACGAAACTGATCAACAAACTCTTCACAAACATTACAGGAAACCCAGGCTCAGACTCAGACCTGGACCGGCACAGCCTGCAGGTCTGGATCAGGGTCCCTGTTTGATCAGAAATAATCAACCAGAGGAGAATCCCTGAGTCAGCACAGTCTCAGACCTGAACACAGACCAGATGGAGAGCGAGACCGGCCCTCCTGGATCCAGCTCCGGATTACTGAGTCTCACAGCGGGGACAGGGTTTAAGTGGCCCTGCTTAATGATGTGGACTACAGAGTCCAGAAAGAGGGATTACAGACCTGCTGTCCAAATCACAGCTCTGCCTCCAGAGAGCCCCGCTTTTACATCAATAAGTGATCAATAACTAATCAATAACTGATCAATATCTCATCAAAATGTGTTCAGTTTTTCTCAATATTTTATGTCAAAGCAGTAGTTAATCAGTGTATTGGAAGCGTCTCATCATTGATCTAGGTTCATATAGTTTAGTAAATATTCATGATCTATATCTGATCCAAGGATCAAGTCGGAATCATAACATCCTCCATCGTCAGACTGAAGCGGCTGATAATCAATAAATGAATCGAACTTTCGACTGATGGTTTAGTCGTTTAAAACAACTTTGATTGTTAGACTGAAATTGCTGATCAATAATCAATAATCAACACTGCACCCTACGTGTCCCATGATGCACCTGGAATGTGCCACATCTTTCAAATTGTTTGATGACATCACTGTGACGTCAAAACGAGGCGTAGAAAGCAGCTTTAACAATGAGCTGATTTTATCATTTAAATTAAAGATTGATTTTAAATCGGAAACTAAAGTCACACTCACTCCTGATCAGTGATCAATGGCTCATTCAATCAGTAAAGCTGCTGCTCTACAGCATAAAGCAGTTGATGCACCAGACTCCATTATAAAAACAGCTAAAATAAGCCAACAAACACGGTTTACTCTGAGCTGAAGAAGCCTCTGTGAGTCTGCACCTGTCCGCTCAGTGTTGAACTCCATTCAAAAATATGTAAATTTAAACCCCAGTTGTCGCTTATGAGAAAACCTCTTTAAAAAGACTCAACACAACGACTGTCCGCGCTCTTCTGCCACAATCGGCTCAAATATAATCCAAAACGCAGCAATAATGTCGGTATTATTCAAACTTTTGCTCAGTAACGCCGTACCTCCGCGCTGCCTGCGTTACAGAGCTAACAGGCTGCTAACAGGTGATTCACCGCTAAGTTTCACTAAAACAACATCAAGTTTGGTTCATGTCGAACCGAGCAGGTAAATCTGTGAGTGTTCCTTAAAACCAGTGTTTGTTAAACGGGGTTCTGAATGGAGTTTGTGTCTCAATGTACCCGGAGTCTGCTCTGTGCGTGAGGAATGACGTCGGTGTGCTCCACAGGTAAAGCTCACCTTTGTGTACAGCTCGTTCACAGACATCTCCCCTGCCTACGACGCTCGCGCTGTTCAGTCCATTCAAATCCTCTTTTTATTCGAAAGTTTCCTGATAAAAACAGCAACTTTTAGTCCGCATGTCCCCCCGGTGGAGCGGGCAGGTGTCCCCGGTGGAGCGGGCAGGCAGGTGTCCCCGTGTGAGCGGGGCAGGGAGCGGGCAGGGTGTCCCCGGAAGAGTTTTCGGTCGGTGTGTCGGGTGGTCTTTCCCCGCCGGTGCTCCCTTTAATGTCCGCGGCGGGTAAAAAGGGAGGAGAATTGTTCCAGAAAGCCGAAGTAGCAGACTAAAGAGCTTCTCTTACTTCCTGCTGTGTTATCTTACTAGATACACACTCACACACCAAACTGCGATACCTACAGAGCAAACTCGGCAACGACTCATCACCAACAACTGAGTCGCGGCCCCACACCACACCCAAGGTCCCACAGAACCCAAAATTGAACCACACACCCGGACGAAACGCAGACCCCGGCTCGGGTCTGGCTGCTCCAATACAGGAGAACTTGAAAACTACTACCATACTAAAAACAAATCACTATCACAAATCGAATTATACTACCTTCAGACCGGAAAATAACATCCTCACCCATCATCACCTATAACAACTCCACCGCACAGGCCCGCAGTGGAGCGACACCTTCCCTGCTTGCATTCAGCCTTTAGAGAACGAGGCGTAACATCCTCCTTCACGTTCATCCAGCGCAACAAAACCACGAACAACCCCTAAAACTGACACAGTCTTTCAAAAATCGATAATGTATGGAACAACCAAATTTACAAAACTTGCCGATTTGCCCACACTTGTACTTTAGCAAACTCCAGGTGTTGATCCTAAAGATTAAATTATTCTGTGCTGATTTGCTCGCTGTTTGCAGTGACCAACTTTGAAACAATTAACAAAATCCATAGATTATTCATTTATATATTAACAATTAATCTAATAATATTAAAAAAAACATCACAAAAATACACAAAACAATAAACATCAAATCAATTATATAAACTTGCTATAATTAGAAATTATGACTAGCAGGCCACAAATGGAACAAAAGCGAAAGCTAATAACACGCTTCGGTTGCTTTCAGTGCTCACGTTGATCAGTCTGTATTGAGGGGGTCCAAACAACTCTGCTGGAATGTGTTAGCTTGAAATAATGGATGACATCGTTCATACTATATATCATTGAAATTATGTTAGCAACACATTATATATATAATGCTTTATATTATTGATTCAAATTTGTATTTGAAAAAAAACAAAAAAAAAAATATTACATCTTAGTAAAAAACATTAAAATAAAAAGTATATAAAAAATTAATTATATAATTACATTCAAATTCATTTCACCATCACGTCGCACTGCCAACACGTGACACACAAAACTAAAAAAAAAATAAACAACAACTTATATAGATCCCCAGACAAGAGAACAATTAGCATAAGTAGCATTCAACAATAATCAGCTATATTGGAGGGGCTCACTGAATTCACTGTACAAACACCAACTTATATCTTATTTACGTGTACAAACAACAACAACCAATTAATTATCAAGTTCATTCTGAACCAGTAATCCTCCGCCAACTCAACTCTGCATGAACTGCTACATGATAGCTGCTTTTAGCGTTAGCAAACGTACACGGGGCCTCAGCAGACAAAAAACCTAACCCAAGGTTGAAACTCACACCTCGGGAAGACCGAACAAGAAGGAAACAGATCGGACACGGCCACCAAAAAAACCCAAATCCCAAACCCCAACCCAACAGGTTACCAGCAAGCGTCGAATTATATTGGAGGTTTCTGGATGGGACTGCGTTACAGCCTAGCAAAACGGCATAAACTGGCTCAGCATAAAACATTAGGAACAACGAACCTCAGCCTCAGGGTGGCAGGAGCCAAACACCGGCAACCACTAACAACCCACAACCTCAATTGTGCTTTCACTCCCAGTCAGCTTACCCACCAAATCGGGTGCCGCAAACCAATATAACCTGCTAGCTGCTGCCTAACTGCTAGGCATTACCATGTTCAAATATATAAGAAACATACAGAAACCAACAATGGAAAGCAAACAAGCTAGATTTCTGTATCAATGTGGGACTTATTAAACACTTAAAAATAAAACAATACCACGTAATTGTATCACACAGAAGGATCCCACGGTAACTAGCACAATAATAGCCAAATATAAAGTAAATTAAGATAGCCAGGGATATTACATCCGTACTGACCTGGATTCAAGGACTACACCAAAACAAACTGCCCTAACAAGAACTCCTCGAGGGAGGAGGAAAAATACTATATCATGGCTTTGTAAGCTAAAACTGGGATAGTTTCAGATAGTCTGAGACTTCAACATAATAACACAAGAGCCATCACGGTACCAGCTCCTGAAGCTAGTAGGACCGCAACCAGATAAGAAATATAATACACAACACAGACAAGACATAAAAAGGAAGCAAAAATATACCTCATGGCATACACACAGAAGGTCAAATAAAAATCACTGGTTCAATCCACTCTCTGAGGAAAAATCAAAACATACAACCATCAATAAAATTTCAATCGATCAGCTGTGTTTCTGTTAGCAAGTTGCGAGACATTTGGTGAGCTTGACCAGCAATAGGTCGATACCAAGACTGTGAGAGGAAGCACGCACACTACTCTACAAGAATCACAAATTGTAACGGGAACAGCTACCTAAGAACGCCCTCAACCATCCCAGCATAAATTCCCTCAACAATACAGACTAATGAAAGTACCACTCACCAACACCATCCCCTC